GGGGGGGGAGGGGACATCAGAAAATCTCCACCTTCAACACAGGTCCTGTAATGCACTTGGGCATCCCTCTCATTTCTAGATGTAACAAGTTTTGGAAACAGACTTCAAATTGATCTTATCACTCTTCCGCCCATGACAAGATCAAAACTGACTCTCTTGTCACAGCAGAATTTCATGTACCTTCTTTATTGTAGATCCAAGCCAGACCAGATAAAATGACCTGCCATGGATGATGTAGTCCAGTGATGTAGAAGGAAACAAATTTCCTGAAAATCCAGAAACTTGGCCAACTTATCCAGCAGCAACAGTGTGAGGAGCTGAGGCAGTCTGGAAAGAGACAGCAGAAAAGGGGTGGCCTTAAAGACGGTTACCCACAAACACACAACTCTCCTGCAACATTTGGGAGAAGGGTAAACCCTGGACTGAGGGACATGGACATGAGAGCACAAACATTGAGGATTCCTTAGAACAAGAAACATTCTGGTCTAAGCAGTCTGCAGGCAACGAGAGGATTCCAGTGCCGATAATTTAGGATACAACTAAATTATTGAGGCATCTGGACAATCAGAGAGATGTTATGCAACAGAGCCAATGCAGACGGTTTCTGGATGTTTCTGAGGCAATGCCTCAGGTGCTCACGAAAGCCCAGACAGCCGGTAGCAGGTAAGGGTCAGATGGCAAGGTCACTGTAGGCAGGCAGGAGGAAAAAACAGAGTCAGAGTCCCATGTGGCTTTTTGCAAAGCAGGAACAGCAGCAGATAGATGCTTCCTCAAAGCTGATTGGCAGGAAAGGGAGAGAACGGTGCACGTGGCACTCCACCCAGTGGAGGATGTCAGTGGACACATCACTTCCACATTCAGCAATCAGAGGGTATATCAGTGGCAGGAAGAGTGCCGATCTCCCTCCAATCCAGCCACAGAAACCAACCGTGCTGGTCCCAGGCCCACACGGAGAACGGCTGAGCCCAGGATAGCAGGCAGCGGTGGAAGAAGTCGGGCAACACACTTCCGGCACCATACAAGTGATTAGGCGGTTCTATAGCCACCCGAATGTTGTATGCAACAGCCATCACCGGCTGTAAACAATGGTGAAATGCCATATACTGTATTTACTGCGACTCGCACCCAAGAAGCTGCCGTCCGGCTGGTTAATTAAAACAGCCGGAGAGCAAGTGGTTAAGATCCCTTCCAGGCTAGCCCTGCAATGTTCTCTCCAGGAGGGACCGGACACAGCATTCTAAAAGCAAGGCGAAGGACAGGCCACTCTGGACAGCTGCAATCGTAGTAACCAGCTCACTCAGCAAAGTACAGAAAAAATGATAACTGATGAAAAAAGAAAAAATTAAGAATGCTAGCAAAAATTGAAGTGAGAAATTTTCAGAAGAACTGAAGAAAGACTTCCATTTCCCTAGGACAGAAGCAAAAAAAACAAGCCATGCTGAAGTAGAAGGGATATCCTGGGCTGGCCTACAGTTTTTGTTTTGTTTGCCGTGTCTAATCTGCTGGTAGGTGGCAATATAACAAGAAAGGGAAAAGAATTCCTGTGTTCCTCAATAGATAAGAAAAACTATTTATTCCAAATAATTTACAGTAACAAAACAAGTCTAAATGTTTCACACATTTTCAGTTGTTGTGCACCCTTTGTTAAACTTCCTTGGGTTAATAAATGTGTCCCAGCTTCACTTTAAGGAGTTTATTTGTATGTGCTGTAATTAGGCATGATGTACATTACCTGCAAACACTGAAGTGTCCTCAAATATGAGCCTGTTTCTACTCATGTAAACCCTAGGAAATGAAGACCTTTTCATAACTTTATCGTTTGGTGCTAGCTGCTTCAATCTCTGACAAATATCAATAACATATTTCAGTGATGTTTAGTAGTACCTGTTCAGTATATACACAGAAATTGGCACAATTATGGCTGATCTTCAATTAGCTATATATCTCAGATGTTGGTTAGACTTGAGTGTATGATTGTACCATATGAAGATGTCAATTTAGCAAAATACAGGCATAAGCATGAACACTTAATTAACCTGAGCATTCACCTCTATGTCTATGATGAGGGGACAAGGAAGGAAGAGACAAAAGACACAAAGAAGAGACCACCAGTGTTGGCTTATCTCAGTGGCACCAGGGGCCACAGAAACTGTTCAAATCAGATATATCAACAATTCCTCCACACAGTTGAACAGTTGGTTCAGTCATCAGGCTACCTCCTAAATTAGCTGACAATGGCTGGATAAAAGTTAATCTTATATTGTTGGTCAGATTTATACAGGATATAATAATTACCTGACTTTGGTCATCACCGTGGAAAAGAAACAAAAGAATTTGCAGTGGAGGCCCTCAACCTGCAAACAGCATCCCCTGGTGAGCGTGTGGATAATGCGAGCCACCAGCAATCTGTTTACCGCACTGTTTGGTTTCAAGTACAGGTTGCAAAAAATGTGTAATAAATCTGAAAAACATATGAGATCACACAAGTCTAACAAATAAAGATACCATCTTATGAGGAACTACAGTGATAGGAATGCACTGTCAAAGGGTAAACATTTAAAAGGTCAGCAAGACTAAAATCACAAAGTATATTAAGACAGGATCTAAATGTATGCAATGGACAAATCAAGCACATTTTTTCCTTTACCTTTTTCCAAAACAGATTATTTGGCTTGTGGCTGTGATGCACAGTTATTAACTATTTCCGCACTTCAGCTTTATATGCCACATACTTAGTTGAGTTGAGCTGCTAGTACATCCAGGATTCACTGAACCTTATAAAAAATTGTATGAGAGCATTTGGAGTCGGCACCAGTCTTATGTCAAAATGACCAGGCAGACTTTTACTGGTAGGTAGTCAGATAGCAGGTCCACATGAAATACCAAGATTGGATTTCCTATTTAGTGCCTATATTATCCTGAGGTTTAAGTTTTGTTAACATGGAAATTTCTATTGGAGAGCCTTGACCTAAGTTAACAGTGACTGTCTGCCTTACAGAGCTATAATATGAATGGGAGGACAGTCAGAACAAGTTGTTTATCATCCTCATTCTGTGAGGTGCCTTCAGCCATGAAGGAGGTGGGGATCCTGCATTTGTCACACATAGAACAATTGCTGGCAATTAGGTTTAAAGCATCACAATGTCTATTATAGAGTATACTTCACTCATTATTACAAACCTCTTTTGACAGATCAAGATCAACTGTTTGTTAAAGTTTCCCTGCCTGCAATGTTTGAAGAGCAGAGAGACTTAGCAGCATCATTGTAAGTGAATACTGTGATGCCTTAATGAATAAAACAAATAACACTTTCCAGTATGGCAGTAGCTGTGAAAAATACACTTTTGAGCTCTCACTACAGGCAGACACACTTTTCAATAAACAATATTACCACCACCTACCTTCCCACTGCTTTGAAGTTATCTCACACCAGTACTTGCGCACAGTTAGGATATCTTTTAAGAGGATACTGCTGTAATCAGAACCGTAAGCAGCACATGTTGTGGGGTCTTTTACAGTGTTGCTCACATGGAGTAGAAGCTCTGTACATTTTAACCGTGGGGCTCCTGCAGAAACCAGAACACAAGAATGGACAAATAGCAAAGCACATCTTCGACAATTTCTGTTAACTTAAGCAGCCAAATTTATATGACATATAGCTCACAAAAAGCATCAGCTAAATGTGATCAACTGTAAATCTCTTCACAAGTTTTACTAACTTATCTTAAATGCTGAGCTACATCTGAACACAAAACTAGCCCTACTTTCTCCGAAGGCCTGCAGAATCTGAGTGGGTGCAGTATACAAATTCTGACTTGATTGATGTAGGAGCAACAGAAAATTACAATTTACACACCTACAACACCACCACATCTGAGAAACACCCACTTGATGAACTGCAATGTCTAAGAGACAGTTTGATATACTATGTTAATGGGCAGGGTTCGCACATATTGTATTCTCATACAGTGACACATTATTTCTTCTGCGATTGCAAAAGGTGACACCAACCGAGTTCTGGCATACTAACATCACCATCCAGACAAAGTGACATGGTCTCAAGGTGCCATCTACTGATATACAGAAGTGTTACACTGGCCATAGGTGGCTTAAACTTCAGCCGATTCAGTAGAAGTAAAAATTCGATCCATGGGTAGCCCTGTAACCACCACCCAGCTCGACATGCTTTCTGTCCTAGGGTAACAACGCTGCAGTGCTGTCATCCTAGTACAGGACTGTTGTTGATTTTATAAAGATATTTAAAGCAAGAGAATGCTGTATTTTAATAACATATTGATTTTGTATTTTAAAAAGGAGAACTATGAGGTCGAGTGCTTTTCACTCACCTCATAGTTCTAGCCGACCTGTGACAATGAGACTGTCACAGGTCGGCTCAGTAGATTGAGAAGTAGGGCGAACAGATAACGGCGTTCGCTCACCTCTCGATCCTGTCACAGCTCTCTGCCGTGACAGGGGAGGGGCTGGATTCCCCGCTCTGATCCACCAGCACTGACAGGCGGAACAGATGGGGGAGGGGGCGTGTACAGCTGGCTCTGCCTCTAGATAGGCAGAGCCAGCTGTCACTCACACAGCTGGTCGGATCCAGACATAATTGTCGCAGGTCCGCTTCAGCTGCGGCGTCTCAGTATACCGCGAGCAGTGGCTCGCGGTGTACTGTGGCATCTCAGTATAGAGCGAGCTGTAGCTCGCGGTATACTGAGATTAGGGTGACGGGAGGACGCTAGTTTGTGTCCTCCCGTTACCCTAAGGAGAACTATGGGGAAAAGCCTTAACCCCATAGTTCTCCTTTAAAGTACTATGCGAGAGGAACTTGTGATTTTTCTATCCTAATTGTATACAACATTCAGGACTGGCAGTTACCGGCCTTACAACCCTGAAGTAATAGCATTAACCCTTTTGCGACCATGGACGTACCTACCGTGTTTCCCCGACAATAAGACACTGTCTTATATTTTTTTTGGCTCAAAAAAACGCACTTAACCTTATTTTCGGGGTAGGTCTTATTTTTTTTAAATGTACAACAATCCACACGTATTCCCGGGAGAAGATTTACAAGACAGGAGTGAGTGTCAAAGTTAAGAATATGGTGATCAGGGCAATCAGGTGTGTCGTACCTTTCCAAGAGCAATTTGTTAACCATGGCTGGCCAGAATGAGTGAAGCACGCTTTCACTATTGATTACTCACAGGCGGAGTGCATTTGGTATCACTCCGCCTGTGACAGGAGACGGCGCTATAGAGGAGGCATCGGCTTAGCTGCCTCCGCTGCCGCCTCACTTCCTCTAGCGCTGGCTTTGTTGGCACCGCTGATTCTATCCTGCGGCTCTTTAAATTCCCCCTTTTGCCACCACCGGCCCAGGGATCGGTCACAACTAGGTCTTATTTTCGGGGTAGGTCTTATATTTTAGCAATTCCCAAAAATAGTACTAGGTCTTATTTTCAGGGTAGGTCTTATTTTTGGGGAAACAGGGTAGTACTTGGGTGGAAGCATGGCCCTGTAAACAGACTAAAGCCACCGGGACTCTGTTTACCTTTGTAAAGCCGACTGCTGGCTTTACAATAGAAGCGCTTCTGGCGGCTCAGCTGCTGCAAGATCTCTTCTATAGGCTGGTAAAGTACCCCTCCTGTGGGCCTGGGATCGGCATGTTGGGTGCAGATGGGAAGCTGCCCGTTCTATGGGACTGAGAGCAACACGGATTGCATCACTTCCGGTCCCTGAGCGGTCATTGCTCCGCTCCTGAAGCCGACTAATAAGCTATTGAAGTGCAACCTGCACTTCACTAGCTTATTTAAAGTGGAAAGGTGATACTAGTGGTTTTTTGGACCCCCAGTATCACCTTAAAGAGGACCTGTCACCACCAATATGCTATCACATGGGGGGCTTGTAAGCCCCCCTATGTGATAATGTTTAAAGTGAAAAAAATATATATTTTTAAATAATATGGAATAAAATAAATGTAAAAAATTAGGGCTGCAACTAATGATTATTTTCATAATCGATTAGTTGGCTAATTTTTTTTCCCATCCAATTAATTCAAAAAATTATCAATACCATCTTTTATTTAAAATAAAATACATAAATGGGGTGTTGCAAACAAAATGTATTTTATTTAATTTCATTATTTCAGAATTAAACTGCATGCACAGTTTTTTGCAATCGTACTGCAATGGAGCGCAGGGCTTTCCGTGCGTTCCAATGCAGGCGATCGAATTGTGGGGGGAAGCATGTTTCGGGTACCATGGTACCATGGATACCTATCCGTTTCATGTTTTTACAATTTTTTTATTGACTTTTCACCTGCTTTAATATCTTTGTAAGCACCAATGGAACAAAAGCATTACTACCAATGTATCATTTATAAATAAATGGGTATAACAACGTCACAACTTGCACTCACTTTTATTTGCACAGCGGATGAAATATTTAACAAGGCTTCCAATATCCTGCATTTTCTTCTGTCGAGCAGCTTGTGTGGATTGGGAGACATTTGTTTTAGCAGACTTAAGGCTTTCAATTTCCTTGTAGATGTATTTTTGTAGGAACCTGGTGGATGCAAGCATTGCATTTAGTTTTAACAAAGGTTGTGTTTAATGGAGTTGTAAAACCATAAACATAAACACAAATAAACAAAAGTTATCCTTAGTGTTATAAAGACTCAGACCTTGGAGGTTTTAAACAATCTAATACACTGGGGATGCTGTAATTCACATGTTGCTACCTCTGACTGATATTTGCCAAGAATATCATTGTATTGTTCCCTGGGCTCCTGAGGGCTGTACCTTAGGACCTGCAGCGCAAGGACTCCCCTGCTTCATCGATTCTGTGGATATGTGCTTTCCCCACCTTTCCTGCTGCTTCATATTAACCAACCAACAGTCATCTGGGGGGCAGATCTAACATGATGAAGCCCTGTCTCTACAAATATAGCTGCCTCCACACAGAGACACAGTTTGAAACATGGTATGGTAAATTGGTCACAGCTTTCACTGTACAGATTCACAGAAAGTAGTCTTATTTACGACCATCAGGAGAAGCTATAGGCTCATTTTCACCTTCTCACTCTTGTATATATTTTTGTTTTAAAAAGCCTATTGTTTGCACAGATTAACAGCTCAAGCTCATATTTAAACACACACATACACACAACTGAATATTTCAGAGATCAGGCTCATCTCTTACAAACTGTGTAAGCAGTGAAGAAAACTGATTTACCAAATAATTTTCCAAAGTCAAGTTATAAATGACACCTCATGATTTATATAAATATGTGACTCTATGAGAGGTGCCTGTGAATGCTCACAGGAGAGTATCCAATAAGCTAGAAAACCATTGTAAATGTTTAGGAGCGTTTCCTTTTCATTGTTTCAATTGTGCACTGACAGGCATTGAGGCTGATTTACTATGGCATTTGAGAAAGTTAACACTATAAATTGTGTAAATATTCACTTTAAGTATCCAATAATGTGAAGGTGAAATAGGTAAACAGGGATTTTCTTTTCACATGCTTTAATAACTGAAATTGATCTTCACACATTTTATTGTGTGAACATTCTCAAATCCTTTAGAAAATTGAGCTCATTTAGTGCATTGCCGTCATGGTTATAGGAGACATATTTCTCAATTGCTGCAATACAAAAACAATCTGTACACCTATGAGCAGCCTGAACACACCTGAACACAGTATCCCAGTTAAGCTGTTTATTGTGCCGATTGTCAGAGTTACGATCCAACTGCTGGACTGTCTCCTTATCACGTAGCAAACGTTTGAACTTATCAATTTCTTTCTGGAATGATAAAAAAAAGTCTTACGTCATAAAAACACATTTTCCAGTTAAGGATTAACAGAGAACACACTTTTAAGAGCAATCCCCAAGTCACAGCACCAAGTACAGTACAGACCTTGTACAGTATTCAAATATACCGTATTTGAAGACCTATAGGAGGAAGAATACCCTCTCATCATGCCATATCTATGATAGATAATCTTTTGACCTCCTCTCCTCCCGAATATGGTCTACCTTTTGGGCTAAATGGGAAGCAGAGATGGGTTTAAAATTCATTGCTCTCCAGAGGGACAGTATTCTTTCTCTGGCACACAAATCCTCTTTTGCTAATAGGTATGAAGATGTGGGTTGAAAAAAACCTTACTAGATGGTATAAAGTCCCATGGTCACTGCATAAGTTGAACAATTCAATTTTTTCAGTTGTGTAGAAGATGTGGTTCTGCTCCAGGTACAATGTTACACCGCTGCTGGTCTTGCCTGTAGCTGAAGCCGTTTTGGTACTTGGTCCATGCGGTAGTTACCCAACTGACCATGGTAGACCGATGGAACAACCTGGCTGTTTGACTCCTGCATTTGAATGATTGATGGGCCCTTTAACAAATATAAATCCTCCCTCACTGTCCACTTGATCAATGTGGCTAGGGCTTGTATTCCGCTGTTGGAAACAATATCAGCCTCCCACTAGCCAGATTTGGTTTACAAAGGTTAACAATATTTACACCATGGAGGACCTCATGGCTTCCTTGAAAACTGAGAGAAGTTTGATTCCACATGGAGACTCTGTAGTTTCTTCCTGATTAGTGATCAAAATTGGCAAACTATGACAACCTGTTGAACCATAACCACTCCGTTTCCCTCTTTGTACGTGGGGGGTGATATGATATAAATTGAGATTCTCTGAACTCCGACTGCATGGGTACCTCAGGGAATGGGACCCCTTCCCTCTTCCTGCCGGGGCAGACTCTCCCCCCACCATTTACCTATTTCTCTGCTACCACCTTCTCATTTTCATCCCCAACATGGTCTCTTCCTTTCTCGTCTCTTTGACTTTCCTACAACAGTCTGGGATTTGCAGCTATGCTGCATATTTTCAATCACCTTTTCTAGCTAGGACCCAATTAGGGTTCTACAAGGGTTCCATATTTCATATGGCCTGGCAGGAAGCACCTAGAGTTTCTCTGGCTGCTTGGTATGGTGACATATGTTTCTGTTCATGTTAATTCATAGGAATGATTGGATTTTTTTAAAATAAAGAATATGTACATACGCGTCTTTCTGTGGCCTTGTCTGTCTCCAATTGTCGGCAGCAGAGCAGGAGCTCGTGTACTGCAAGGCTCATTGTGCCGTGACCAGGAGATTTCTGGAGACAGACTGCAGGATACAGCCCCTGATATAAACGATGACCACGATAATTTCTCACCGGTTATTCATATCTAAAGGAAGAAAACATGCAACAAAACCAAATATGAGAAGACATCATTCTCAATGACAAACACGTCTATATGATAACAATGGATTAAAGCGGAACAAAATTCTGAGGTTGAACTCATAATAAAGCTACTGTGGACCTATCCTCAGGGCAGCAGCCCTCAAAAAAGACATTCACATAAAAACATGGGGCTACTGCAGTTGGTTTGTTTCCATGCTGAACTCTGGGCACAAAACATTCAAAGGCAATTGAATTGATCCATTCTGTATGTACCAAATGCATTTACAAACCCAGATAGCCTTTTCAGAGAGCAGAACTGTGTAAGGGACCCAGCAGATCAACTCACTACAGGCTGCCTGCAAAAGACTACAGGGGGAGGCGGAGACGAGACCAGTCAAGTCAAATCTGTTCTCAGTGCCAGGTAAAAGCACAATAAAATGAAGTATTATAAATATTTGCTTGCAGCATTTAGTCCTATTAACAATATAGTGACTTTCCAATATAGCTCGGAACTTGCTAGGAAATTTGACTAAATCAGGAAAAGTCATTTCCGTAGCGCAGCCCCCTGCCTCCTTGCATGTCATAGCCCTCTCCTCTTCTGTGCTGGCCCAGCTCCTCGCCCTTTCCCCCACTTCCATATATCACCTTTTATGTTGTAGCCAGGCGAGAAGAAGAGAAGGGGAATAGTATAGGGTGTCACTTGAGTGACAGATCTGCATCTGCTGGGGATGATAACACCACACCAAAGATGTTGGCCTGGGAGACTCTTAGGGCTTTCAGATGTAAATATGCCACAACTACCTGTCATGGTAACCACATAATAAGGGAAATCTCTCCAGTCGGCTAAGCAATTAACCCAGGGGGTGTCCGGCGGGGGGGGCGGCCCCTTCTTCGGGACGCAGAAGCGATCTGGCGACAGGTAAGTCGCCAGGATTGCTTCTGTTGTAAAGCCGACAGTCGGCTCTACAAGTTTAGACAGAGTCCCGGCAGCAAAAGTCACCGGGAGTCTGTTGAAACAGCCCCGATGCTGGCGACGTACACTGTACGTCGTCAGTCACGAAGGGGTTAAACCAGACATGGACAAATTAATATGGAATTCAGCAGCCAGTCTGTTCAATCCAGGAGCCAGCAGGATTTGTTTTTTTTAGGAGTCAGCACCATTGACAACAACTAGAGAGAACCTCAAAAGTTAGGCACCATTTGGAATTTTTAAGGAGCATTGGCTACCTGGCTCCTGGGATTTCATTGAATTAAATCCTTATCCACTCCATACAAAACTCTGCAGTTTCATTTGAAAATAAAGCTCATTTGATCCTAGTATTCAAACCTTTTTCATTTTACGAAAAGAAAAAAAAAAAAAGTGTCCCAGCTGGAGAGTTTTTCCCTCACTTTCCATCCTTGTGCCCAGTGGCGTATTTTGATTTTATGCTGCCCTGGGCAAAATTAAACTTGGGCACCTCCCCCGCCCCCATCTAAATTTGCTCCACTACTTCCTGATTAAGAACCCCCCTCCCCTTATCTGTAAACTCCACGCCTTATACATGCCTTATTTTGGCATTTAATTTTGCACCCTGCTCCGCTTAACCTTTTTCTCCCGTCACTCATGGCTGCCCCAGATAGTACCAATGCTGTGATGAATATAATTAGATTGTGTTATCAGCATTTTACGTAGGAGTACTTACATACTTCACTATTAACACAATTATAGACAAGTTTTGCCAATACTGAGGGCGCTCAGTGCGTTCTCCTATCTCAATTAAATGATTAATCCCAGAAGAAGTCAGAGGCAACAGAGAACTCAACCTCAGCTTCCCCTCTCACTCTCATGGATACAGCACGCAACATGTAACCATTTACAAAGGCGCGCGCTGTATGCAGCTTAAGACAGGTTTCGCTGTTAGCTTAGCGGGGAAGGCCGCTGCACATTTTGCATAACCTTTCATAAAATGGAGCCTTTGGCTCAGTAGTTTGGGGGCGTTTTTTTGTGGCCCCCCTGGAAAGTGCTACCCAAGGCAAATGCCTAGTTTGCCTTGTGCTAGATAAGCCTCTGCTTCTGCCCATACAGTAGGTAAGAGATAATCGCCCAAAATTCTATGCTCTCTACATATTATTCCAAATTGATGAGCACTGGGTGAGAATAGAAAATGCTTCTTTTAAATGTGTTGTAATGGTTTGCAATGCGCAGTAAGGCGAAATAGCGAACTTCGGCTCCTGCTGTAAAAAAAGAAAAATGCACAGCAACACAAAAAAGCATGTCAGCACACATGCATCTATCATGCACTAAACGCAACACAAAAGGTTTGAATCCAGCCTTTAGGAGGCAGAAATGTTCAGGAAGACAGACAGATGCAACAAGGCGAAAGCTGGGAGCTATGAACAACCACACTTTTTAGGAGACCTTAAACTTCACTAACTGCATGCTTGTCCTGGGTAAGTAATGTTGAAATATTTTTAAATGAATGGATATAGTAATGCCTCCTGGAATACAAATGTTATATCACATATCCCAAGAGACATCACTTCCTCATTTACAGAACAATATTTAAGCAGACACAACGCTAGATCTATCTGCACATGCGCGAGGTCTGGTACCACCATTTACAAGAATAGTGGAAAGTACTGCTGCCTCATGAGATACGTGACGTCTGTATCCCTGGAGGCGGTAGGAGGTGAAAGAATGTCATTCTCACCTAGGTGAAAAATACGGCAGGGCGTGTGGCCAGCAGAAAAAAATGAGGTAAATTAAAAAGAAATTAAGTAAAGTCAGCTTTTTACAAATGTGGAGAGGATTAGAATGCTTTAATGTTTTATTTTGTAGTGAAGGTCCACTTTAACCCATACATTCCATCTCCTTCATTATATACTGAAATGTCCTTCACTACCCTGACTCTGTCTAGCACCAGGAGGTGAATGGAAATATCAGGTACTTCCTGGTATGGAGGTGCATGTGGCTCACTCCAGATGACAGCACTGGGCCAATTAGCACTGCTACCCAAGGAAAATACCTAGTTTGCCTTGTGGTAGATAAGCCTCTGCTTCTGCCCATACAGTAGGTAAGAGATAATCGCCCAAAATTCTATGCTCTCTACATATTATTCCAAATTGATGAGCACTGGGTGAGAATAGAAAATGCTTCTTTTAAATGTGTTGTAATGGTTTGCAATGCGCAGTAAGGCGAAATAGCGAACTTCGGCTCCTGCTGTAAAAAAAGAAAAATGCACAGCAACACAAAAAAGCATGTCACACATGCATCTATCATGCACTAAACGCAACACAAACGGTTTGAATCCAGCCTTTAGGAGGCAGAAATGTTCAGGAAGAGAGACAGATAGATATGGCTGCAAAAAGGCAAAAGCTGGGAGCTATGAACAGCCATACTGAAATTTTAACCTTAAACTTCACTAACTGCATGCTTGTCCTGGGCTACGTGTGGAGCCCATAGCCATGTGTAAACTTTGACTCTGTTGACTTACAAAAGTTCTTATTTCCTATTCAAGCAGCTGGAAGTAGAGCAAAGAAAAGGTAAATATTTGCTGCTGGGAAGGCTAAATTAAGCAAACCTGTTGCTTTTCCCCTTGTGGGCAAACTGCATGTTCACTTTAAGCACCATTCTTAGGCCTGGTTCACGAAACGCGCGACAAATGTGCATATTTGATACGCCTAGGTGTGAACCCAGCCTTATTGTCTTAAATTTCAATAGATTGGCCCATTATAATAAGTATTCCTTAATGACTTTAACCAAAAATAATTACACACCCATGAGTGAGAGAGCAGCCTGGGTAACGGAATAAGCCTGAGAGATATTATACTCCTGGATGCCTCCCAAATACAGTTCACACTCCCACAATAGAAACACAAAATGTTAACACAGATAAAATGTAAGTGGCTCTAAAAAGGGTTCTCACCCTTCTGCGTATTCCAGTTCATACAGTATTTTCACATACACAGGGCAAACGAAGACAAAACAGAGAAGATAACAAAACAACCAATCACAGCACATAATAAAAATAATACACTAACCTAAAATGTTTCACCAAAATCTGGTTTCAATGAGTAACACAAAATGTGAGCAGTACAGAATTCTAGCCGTCTCAATTAAAACTAAACCAAAGAATCCCATGAGGGAAATGGAGCCGCTGACGGAAGCAAGCAATGAGACCTTATCTGTTCTACTTGAAATCAAAATCGAAATGAAAAAAAAATGTTTTGATTGCTATGAGTACAAGCCCCAATTATGGTTCAGTTTGAACAAAACAGCCCCACTGGCACCAAATGATTAAAACTAGGCAGTCACCTAAAAAAAAAAAATTAAAACTGCCACTGAAAAAGTGGGAGGCGAGTCCTCATTTTGATGTCTTCAAGAAATATGGCAGCTGAAGAATCTCCTTTTATAAATATAAAAGAAATGGGAGGCAGCTAATGCTTCAGGTTTCAAATCACACCACTTGGATCAACGTATTTCTGTGGCAGGTAGCCAGATTTTGTGCTTAGCTGCAGACACCCAGCCCGTACAAATCAATGACAAGCAGAGAGGCTCCACAGCAATCCACATATATTTGTACAGGGAGTGAATACCTGCAACCTAGGGACAAACAGTCTGTATAAAGAGCTACTCATCTGTCCCCAGCCGCAGGTAATCACTCCATGTGCAAATACATGCAAACAGCTGCAAACCCTCTCAGCCTGTCATTGATCTGTACACACATTAAAAACACCTGGCCGTACCAGCCAAAGGAATTTGCTAATATAGGTGGTGTATGATCATGTGATTGAGATCATATGCCTACGAAAATGTTTAAAAGGAGAACTATGAGGTGAGTGCTTTTCACTCACCTCATAGTTCTAGCCGACCTGTGACAATGAGACTGCCACAGGTCGGCTCAGTAGATCAGGAGGTGAGCGAACACATA